CGGGTCGGCCGACTGCTCAAGGAATATCGAGCACAAGCCATCTGCGTGTCCAAGAACCGGTATCTTGGTGTTCGACTTAATATACTTGACTAGATCGTTGGAACCTCTGGGAATCACGAGATCAATGTATTGATCCAAGTCCAGGAGTTGGGGTATCACGTCTCTTGTAGTGACGAGTTGAATAGCACCATTTGGAACCTTCGTCTTCTCTAAGGCCGAGGAAATAGCCTTAGATATGGCGATGAAGGATTCTGTCGACTCCTTTCCTCCTTTGAGAATAGCTGCGTTGCCCGATTTTATGGCCAGAGAGGCGATGTTGGCGATAACCTCAGGTCGCGCCTCGAAGATAATCAGAAGAACACCGATAGGACAAGTAACTCTCGTCAATTCCAGTCCATCATCAAGCTTTGTTCTTAAAGTTATCTTACCCACTAAAAAGCAATTAGCTACGTTCACAGGCGTCTGGTTGATAGGGAGTCAGTGACTCACCAGGATCTTCAAGGTCTCGGACATCAAGTATGCCCTTCAACATATCTTCCCACTTCCCTTTCTTTCCTAGGTCCAACCTTGAAACCAGACTTTGGCTGAGTTGACCACTCTCCGCTGCTAAGCGTGCAGCCTCAAGGTCACGAGCGTTAGCTGCAAGAATATCCTGTTTGGCAGCGGTTAGGCCCGCATGGATAGCTGTCAAAGCATCGTTTCTGGCATATTCGGACAAGGTAGCAAGCACATGTGACGCTTCCTTTGCCGCCTTAGCAGCTTCGGAAGGGGAGGCGTTTGTGAGAGACATTGCCTGACGATGTTGAGCAACGTCGAAGATTCCTATATCGGAAGTTGAATAGCGTCAAAGTCTCAAAGTCTCGAAGTCACGAAAATGGCTATGATGCAAGTGGCTGATCACGGCTTAGGCTATTACCGGTTATTGGTTGGTGAAATCTCACCAAAGCAATTCACCCCACACCCCACCAACGTAACACAGCCACCGTGGCTAGTTAATATAAAAAGCCACACTAATTAAATTCCGACATGGCCTTGGTTTCCCCTACTTGGGCTTCGTCCAATGAAATACAATACCAAACAACTCTCTCTGTTGATTGTCCTACGCAAAACTTCGATTCGGTGACTATATCTTGCGAGCTTACTCAGACTATAGTCTGTTTCACTTTACATATCACGACCCATCGCCACTTTCATACGTTTATACCAAAGACATTTGAGACAAACATAATATCTGCTAACCTCAGCGTGGAATATAAACTTGATGATGTCACATGACAAAGCCAGTCACGTGGGACAGCCCAGCGTAAATAGGTACGCTACGCGAAATACTTCCTTATTTCTAGTTCCTAAACACTCCAATCCTATGAGCTTCTATGTCGTGTAGGCGTCATTCATATCATTTATATGGACAATGTGACCCTCACAGATTTCAGAATGTGAAATGGCAAATCCTTGTTTTATGGGTAACTACATACATCAGCTTTGTGGCGATTTAATATCTGAATATTATCTGGTGGAAATTTTCAGCTTATAAACAATTATCGCATCGCATCGCATACTTCCGCCGGGACCCTTTCCTAGCGCCGATATAATCGCATCCACATGAATATATTGCAGGCTAGTACCATGGATTCCGATCCCCAACCAGCGTATACCCGCATTGCTGTCCCGGGATCGTCAGAATGTAACCTTTTGGAGGATCGATTCTCCTGCTGGTTAACCTCTGTCGTATCGGATCGGCTAACCGAATAGAATCTCTGACCCCATCATGTACCTCGGATTTTTCGGCTTTTCGCGCCCAGATGCAATTCCCGCCTCTGCAGCCTAACCCCACACGAACTAAAGCAGTTGAATCGCCCAGCCGCCTCAAAAAAGCTTGCCTTTGTTATACCTACCTAGGTAGGTAGGTTGGCAAGATCCTATCACAGGCCCACTATCACTCGGATAGTGCTCACCACGCCTTTCATTGACCCCTGACTGTCCTATGAGTATAGGATCTAAGGTAAATATTTTCGATCCTGTTACTTCACCGTCTCAACCCCAACCTCCATGTCCTTGACATCAAGATTCCCATTGTATACTCTACATTCGTTCATGAAGTCCATGAATCATCACAGTACGGTACTACTATAGGGTTGTCGATTTGGTATTAAATTCAGATCATTTACTTGAACTTCCGGCTTCCACCGATATCGGTTGCTACCTTGTCGGTCTGGATAACCTAGGTTATAGCCAAAAGGTCATTTCTTTGTTCATTACTCACCATAAACTCCGTGGACATGACTGTTGATCCAGAAAAGATAGACGAAAAGTCGGAAGATGTTGGGCCCGATAGAGGTCGTTCAGATGACAAGGAGGCTACTGCTTCCATCGCCAGCTCGAATGGTGAAGGGGATGATATTTCGATAGACACTGTCCCTGAACAAATACTAACAACAAATGGCTTACCTGTCGATGAAGAAGCTGCGGCTACTGTACCAACAGAGCGAGCCAGATCGCAAGCATCATCTGCTCGGTCCAGAGCGCTCTCTGTGGTGCCAAGACTAAAACGACGAGGCTTTCTCGCGCAATTGACACTTATCCCGGAGGTCGAACGACCTTACGACTATCCAGACAAAGTCAAATGGACAATAACATTGTTCATAGCATTGGCTGCCTGTGCCGCGCCGATGGGCTCTGCAATCTTCTTCCGTAAGCATATACATGTATTTCATTAAACCGTAGCGAACCTTTTCCCTGCAAGTAATATCATAAGACTTACGTGAATCGTATTAGCTGCCCTACCTGAGATGTCTAAGAGTCTCAATGCATCTCCAACAGTGGTGAACTTGACAGTAGCGCTGTATATGCTTGCGATGTCAATATTCCCACTATGGTGGAGTTCCTTCTCGGAGACCCTAGGACGACGTAACATCTACCTCTCGTCCTTCTTTCTAAACGTGGTCTTCTCGGTGTTAAGCGGCCTAAGTGTCAATATTGCCATGTTGATCGTATTTCGGCTCCTCTCTGGCGGAGCGGCCGCATCTGTGCAGGCCGTTGGTGCGGGCACTATAGCTGATATATGGGAACCCCGACAACGTGGTCGGGCTATGGGGTATTTCTATTTAGGTCCATTGATGGGCCCCCTTCTAGCCCCCATTATAGGTGGTGCGCTCACGGAAGGGTTTGACTGGAGAGGCACCGAATATTTTCTCACCGTGTACGGCGCTGTCGTATTCATCCTCGTTTTATTCTGCGTGCCAGAAACCCTAGCGAAGCGCCCTGCCGCGGCCGCGGCTCAGCCCTCACAATCAACAGACCTTTCCCGCGTCCCGACTACACGTTCAGTACAGATATACACCAAGAAAGCAGCGTCATGGTTAAAACGATGTTTCGTCGACCCCCTCGAAATCATCCTATACCTACGCTTCCCCGCCGTCGCCATAACCGTCTACTACGCCGCCATAACCTTCGGCTCCCTCTACATCCTCAACATCGCCATCCAATCCTCGTTCTCAAAAGACCCGTACAACTACACCGCCATCATAATCGGTCTGCTCTACCTTCCCGGATCGCTAGGCTACTTCGCGGCTAGCATGTTGGGAGGGCGATGGATCGATCGGATCATGGTCCGCGCGGCGGAGAAGGCGCAGCGGTACGATGCGAACGGGAAGCTCGTGTACTTACCCGAAGACCGCATGCGCGAGAACGCGTGGATCGCCGCGACGCTGTACCCCGGCGCCCTCGTATGGTCCGGCTGGACGCTGCGCTACGGCGTCCACTGGGCCGCGCCGGCCGTGGCGAATTTCTTCTTCGGCGTTGGGAGCATGCTGGTTTTCAGCGCCGCGACGACGATGCTTACGGAGTTCATGCCGGGGAGGAGTAGTAGCGGCGTCGCGCTTAATAACTTCGTGAGGAATATATTGAGTTGTACGGGAGGTATCGTAGGGCAACCGTTGATCGATGCGATGGGTGTTGGATGGCTGATGACGTTGGTGGGGTTGGTTGCTTGGATTAGTGGGAATGTTTGCATTTACTTCCTTAGGAAGAACAGTCGGAAGTGGAGGACGCAGATGGATAAGGCTCTGAATGGGAAGTGAGCCTTGTCCATGCTCATATTCAGCTCGGAGAGGTAGGTACCTAGGTTAAAAGGAGTGTGAGGTTTGTTGGATAGATACCTGCTACAAGCATTAGAGAAGAGGGAGAGGATTGAGTGCGTTATGGGTCAGCAACATCGCCTTCTTCTTTACTCAGTACACAGGCGCTGCTGACAGAAAATCTTGGTTAGAGTAGTTCCCTAGTACTTACGTACATACGATATGAATGGGATCAATGATATGCATGTATATACCTCAATTACTATATATACGATCACGAAATCCACAAGCTAAACAGAGCGACCTCCTCGCTATGACCCCTTACTCCTTACCCTCACCAAACAACGCCCCCAGCGCATCCAACCCAACATTCCCACCACTAAACACAACGCCCACATCCCAACCCTCCTCTCCCGCCTCCCTCTCCACCAACCCCCTAAACCCCTCATCATACAGCGCAACAGCAAGCGGGACCGCAGAGCTGGGCTCGATAACGACTTTCAGCCGCTCGTAAGCGAGCTTCATGGCGCTCTTGATCTGCTCCTCGGTGACGGAGTAGAAGCCGGCCACGAGCCGGCGCTCGTAGATCACGGACCAGGGGATCGCGCCGACGGGCGTGCGCAGGCCGTCTGCGATCGTTAGGGTTTTTACTGACGTGATCCGGGACCCGGATTCGTAGCCCCGTTTCGCGTCGTCGGCGCCTTCGAAGGAGGGCTCGGAGCCGAAGACGCGGATCCCTGTTCCTTCGCAGGAGAGGGCTACGCCGGAGAGCACTGGGGAGATGTGTGTTAGTTGGAGGATAGTTGGGCGGGCGGTTGGGGTGAAGGAAAAAGGATAGTACGTGTGAGAGGTAAAAAAAAAATATATGAAGGAGAGCACAGTTAAGTTAATTCAATCTGTCACTGCAAACTGAAAAAAAAAAAACTGCCCATCCTGGGGTCGAACCAGGGACCTTCTGATGTTACTGTGCGACGATAACAGTCAGACGCCTTAACCACTGGGCCAATGGGCACTTGGTAAAACCAGACGATATGGAAACACAGATGTCTGTCATTCGAGTAGTCCCAATTTATATGGTACTTGACACTGTGTACGTATGAAGTTCGGACGAAGGATGGGACGAAGGGAGACTACACAGTGGTTACTTACTTCCCCCGCCGCCGCAAGGCGCAATAATTGCGTCGAGACCCTTCTTCGTTGCTGTCTCTCCGCCCTTCTCCGCCTTTTCGGCTATCACGGCTTCGACCTGCTCCTGGAACTCAAGACCTAGGGTACCTTGTCCCAGGATGATATCCGGGTGGTCATAGGGCGGCACAAGGCGAGCGCCGGTGTCTTCGATGACCTTTGCGGTCACGGCCTCGCGCTCCACACTAGTGCTGCCGCTGAATATCACGTTGGCGCCGTAGCCCTTGGTTGCGGCGATCTTGGGAGGTGCTGATATAGACGGCATCACGATGTATGCCGGGATGTTGTTAGTACGCGCCGCCAAAGATAGGGCTTGCGCATGGTTTCCTAGATTCTGTTAGTTGTACTTCTTGAAGTCTTGCATGTTGAGGAGGGAGGAAACACTAAGATACAAGAGGACTATAGGGGTATCCAATAATGAACAAGCTATACAGAAATCAAGTTAGGGTTGTCCCGTTTACAAACAAAGTCATTGCCTTCTTATATTTCGCGATATGACACACAAACACGCAATCGCAATCGAAAAACCCTCTATGCCAAATAACATCTCCAACCAAAGGAATCCTAAACGACTGACATATAAATCACGGCAAAAATCACAAAAACCCACCGGAGCTATGTGTAACAACACCCCTCTCCCTTCCTCCACCCTCCAACCACCCAGGCTCCTTCTTCAACCTCTCAATAGCATGAAACGCGCCGCGAGCCTTAAAAGCGCCGACCTTCTGGAAGTTCTCGCACTTGAACCAAAGCCTGAGCTTCGGCTTTGCTTTCCCCTCTCCGGGCAAAGAAGCAAGTTCCGAGAGCGAGGAGCTCGAGACGACCGGAGTCTTGTGCACGAACGGCTCGATGAGCTTTCGGGCCTCTGCTACCGAGGCGCGGGTTAGGGGCGGAGAGGTTGAGGGGTCTGCCATTGTGTATTTTGGCGTGGTGGTGTGTATCGGATGACTAAGATAATATCTTACCCGTCTATAAGCGAGTAGATAGAGGTAAGTGAAGTCTGTCTTAAGTAAGTCGCATAGATAAATCTTCAGCTCCCATTCGTCGTCCCTGGATCCTTCCTCGGTACCCAAGCTGGCGGTACTACACTGGCGATGAAAGAACTTAGTAAGTGGTAAAATCTAGATCTACCAAGATTGCAACCAGTCACAAATCTACAATTTGTTATCGTCCTCCGATAACGGAGAAAAATAGTTAGCACACACATTGTGCAAGGCATGGTAAAAAACTTCAGAAATATTTCATGAAAACCGGACTACAGCAACTTTTTTGAGGCCATTCCCGAAGATCCTCGTGAAAGATGAACGTTTGGAATCCTGAATAGGTACATGTACAAAAGCTCCTCCTTTTGTCCCTGGGGAATATGCCTTCGCCGTTTAGTTAACCGTCCCGTAATTTTTTTCATTAAAAACGCCCAAATGCACTTATTTTTGGTTCTCAGGTCGGAGAGATCTATAAAAAGAAAGTGGTTAGAATTAATCGGCTGCAAGAGTTTGAAGTTTATAAGAGGATATTATCTCACCTTACGGCCTTGCCGGCCTTCCAGATCTCCATGTTGCGGATCTCCTCCATCTCCGCCTCGAACTTCTGTCGGTAGTCCTTCTGGCTGTTGTACTCGAGCGATCGCTTGGTCTCAGTACCATCTCGGACAGAGTCGTATAGCTTGTTGAAAACGGGCTTCAGGGCATCCTTGAACTTAGGGGTCCAGTCAATGGCACCTCGTCGCGCAGTGGTGGAGCAAGCCTCGTACATCCAGTCCATACCGTTGGCACCAATCAAGGGGTATAAGCTCTGGGTAGCCTCCTCGACGGTCTCGTTGAAGGCCTCGCTGGGAGAGTGGCCACGCTCTCGGAGAACCTCGTACTGGGCGAGGAACATACCGTGGATACCACCCATCAAGCAACCACGCTCACCGTACAAGTCGGAGTAGACCTCCTTCTCAAAGGTGGTCTTGTAGAGGTAGCCACTGCCGACGGCAACACCGAGAGCCTGGGCCTTCTCCTCGGCCTTGCCAGTGACGTCCTGGAAGACGGCGTAAGAGGAGTTGATACCGCGGCCCTCGCGGAAGAGAGATCGGACAGTTCGGCCAGAGCCCTTAGGGGCAACTAGGATGACATCAATGTCCTTGGGGACATCGACCTTGGTAACGTCCTTGAAGACGGGAGAGAAACCGTGGGAGAAGTACAGAGTCTATGAGTTGTCAGTATTTTCACGTTACACGGATGACTCATACTACCACACCTTTCCCTTAGTGAGTTGGGGCTTGATGGCGGGCCATGTCTCGCTCTGGGCAGCGTCACTAAGCAGGTTCATGATGATAGAACCCTTAGAGATGGCCTCGTCAACCTCGAAAAGGTTCTTGCCGGGAACCCAGCCATCTTGGACAGCATCCTTCCATGATTGGCCGTTCTTTCGGACACCGATGATGACGTTTAGGCCGTTGTCACGGAGGTTAAGACCCTGGCCGTGACCTTGGGAGCCGTAGCCGATGAGGGCGAGGGTGTCGTTCTTGAAGTAGTCCTTTTGGAAGATATTAGTTTTTTGTTTGATATAATATTATAATGCGAATATCAATTGGAAGAACTCACCAAAAGCTTCTCCTTGGGCCAGTCCGCACGCTCTACAATTTTTATATCAGCATATTCCACGCTTATATAATAGTCAATTGCGCCTACCGTAAACCTCCTCAGGGGTTCCAGCGAAGTCAATGGTCTTTACACCACGGACCTGTTGCTGAACAGCGCCGGCTACAGCAGGACGGGCCTTGATGGTAGCTCGGGCAATGTTGGATGCAGCAACAAATGTGCGTGTTTGGACGGCGGGCGAGGCCACACGGCGAGCCAATTGGCTACGAAGGGCCTTGGAAAAGCCTCTGGAAGCCATCGTGAGGAATGTGAATTGAGTGGAGATCAGGAAAAAGAAAGGTCGTCAAGAGACACGATGGGTATAATTTTAATGTATAAAATTCAATTGGGGCTCTTTCGAGTCAGAATTTTTCTACACTTTTTTTTTCTAACTTTTAACAGGGTTACTTGGTTCGGTAGCTCCTACCTACTGCTAGCAAGCTAACCGTTGGGTGCGACTTCGGCGGTGAGTCTTTGCACATAACTAATGGTGGGGTAATTAACCTATAAAAACCGGTCCGGTGAACGTGAATGTGGGGCAGTATACATGTTGTGGTAGTACAGCTTCATACTGGCCTTATATCACAGGCAGTTTTTTTACTCTGTCCCTGCTAGCTTCCAATTAGCGGGAAGGATGGGGTAAGGGCTTATGGAAGCGTTCTTACCAAACGTATATATCGTATATGTCAATATACGTCAAGGCCATATCGATAACCTATAAAAATCATCAACACTGTCCAGCCACACATTAGATCCATGTTCTGATAACGCCAAATGGGACCACATGATTATGAATTTCTTGTATTCCCCTGCCAGGATCTATCTATCGCGTACTGCTGGTTGCCGTCATGCAGTGCGTCACCCCTAACTTCTGGGGTCCATAATACTATTACCAGAGGATCCTCAAGATAGAGACGATTCGGGAACAGTTTCGTTTCGTCCATAGCTCCAAGTAAATGCCGTTCCTCGTAAACGCCTTGCTATGTGTCTTTTGCAAAGCAAACTGAAAGCTTTATCCTCTCTCCCTTCCTTGCATCTTAATCTTCCAACTCTGCCGACAATAGAAGATATTCGTCGCGAGAGCTTAGGTAATGGGTATACCAAGTATCGGTTGTGTATAGACATTGAGCCCAGCCAGTTGAAAAACTAGACCCGACTACATGTCCTGAGCTCGCTAAGCTCTCCCAACCGTCACGCGGTCATACAATACCCCTCTTATAGAACCACCGCTCATAGTTGAGCGGACGTTTCTGCGGAAGGCTTCTCTACTAGCTCGAAGATCATCGGCGGCTTCCTGGTTGAGAGGATCTGAAGCATTCGGTTCGAGGAACAAGAACTGTAACCCAACAATCACCGCGTTGAGGTTCAGTACGGGCTTCCAGTCTTCTCGCAAAATGTTCAAGCACACCTTGCCCTCGAGATCGATGTTGGGGTGGTAAATCTTCTGTTGGCAGCGCACCTTGGGAGGTTCGTGGGGATAGTTCGGGCCCATAGTAAAGGTAAAGGTAAATCGACCGCCAGTGTAGATACCTTCATCGGGGGTGATTTCGAGAATGAAGTTGAGGATATCATCGGGGTCGGGAAATGTCGTCTTCATCGTCGAACCTAGGGATAACTCGGAAAGATCTGTATGAACGAATAGGTTAATTACTCAATAGCCCCAATACTTAGCTTATCCCACCATATCTTACCTTTCTGCACCCGAAGCTGGGCAGGTGTGACTTTTTTCTTCTTGCCAGCTGCGCCATCAGCGTTGTCCGCTTTTTGTTGAGCTGATTTCTAGACGGTAATTATAATTAGAATACATTGTTCGACGTATCGGGAATGGTTATGCGACTTACCATAGACCAGATTTTCAACATCTTGGCGATTGTGTGAGGGAGATTACGGCTTGAGAGGATTCGAATGGATGGCAAACGGAGAATACTCGTCAGATATAAAGGCAGAAGGTACCGACTTATGCAGAGACGGGTGATGGAGAGTAATTTCACAAATGAGAAGAAATCCGCCTGTGATTTATACTCTTCGTCAGAATTAAGAAACCGTTTAATAGAGAAGTATTAAGAGTGTGGGTGTTGTCTCGTGATAAGACGAAATCGAATGCTTGAGGAAGTTCCAGGTTCCAAGGTTACCCAAACCTTGCCAGCCTAGTAGAATCTACGACCCGACACTCACCTAACCCACTATGACAACGTATCCACTT